TGATACTAAATACCTGGAAAGACATATCAGATTCCACAGGTTAGGGGCTCAGTCCTACGAGATTGCCCCACCCCTCTTCAACGGTCACCCAAAAGCCCAGATTATCACCTATGCTTCTGACAGACAGACTATAGTTTCCAATGCCCCCTGCTTTGGGTTCGATTAATTTGCTTAGAGCAGCTCAGAGAACACACAGAAACATTTTACTTGCTAGATTATTGGTTTATTATAAAAGATGTAACTCAGGAACCAGATGGAACAGATGCTTAGGGCAAAGTATGTGGGAAGGGGTAAGGAGCTTCTATGCCCTGTTCAGCTGTGCCACTCTTCCAGGACTTCCATGTATTTACTCTTCTGGAAGCTCTCCAAACAAACTAGAGGCTCCATATTACATGGGGATAATTGATTAGATCATTGCCCATTGGTGATTTATTTGTTCCAGCCATTTTACCCTCTCCTGAAATCAGGCTGGGGGGTGGGACTGAAAAATTCCTGATGTTGTACAAGGTTGGTACCCCTAGCAACCAGTCCCCACCGTTAGGTGTTTTCTAAAATTCACCTCATAAACATAAACCAGTTGTGGTGAAAATGGGTTTGTTGTAACAAAACACCCATTTTTGCCTTTATGTCTCTGAAGTGATTTCAGAAACTGGGGACAGGAGACCAAATATTTAAAAAAGAAAAGAAAAGAAAAGAAAAGATGCTCTCATAGCTCTCCTCAGTCATGTAATTCCAAGTGTTTTGGGGAGATGTGAACCAGAAACTGTGGATAAAGACCAAATGCGTATGAGAAATATATTGGTCATCTGAATGACCCATGTAGGGGACCAAGGGCAGGCTGCCCCAAATGGGTCACTTTAACATGCATGTTATTTTGAGTTAAAAGCAATCAAAACCCAGCAGAATCAGGAAAAGTTCTTTACCCCTGCCTTCCCCACTGCCAACTGCCTGCCTGTACCAGGAAGAGCGCTATTAAACAGTTTCCTCTTTATCTACTTATTTGTATACTAGGGCAGTTTATTTTCCAAACATCTCTCCCCTCCCTGCTAATGTCTTGCTCAGTCCCTTACTCCTCTCCTGAGCTCTTGTAAGTGTCTTATCCCTTCACTGTCTGAAATTTCATACGTAAGTAACTATATTTTATTTTCTCTTGTTATTCTGTCTCATGTCAGTTCAATTCTTAGTCCAGCTAGAAGGACCTTGAAGGGCAGGGAACATTCTCCCTCCACAACAACCAAATAAATACACATTTCTCATAAATCTCATAAAACATGATTTCTCATAAATCATGAATGGTGATTTATAATTAAAAAGAAACAACTGAATTGTACAAAGAAGAACGGATAAATGGTTAAATAGTACATTCCCACCAAGTTTTGTGGCCATTTAAAGCTTGTAGTAAGCAGTAAGACTGCCAAGATATGGTAAATGAGATGAAGTCATAGAATCATATTCATAGTGTTATTCAGCTATGTAAAACTAATTAAAAAACTGGTAATGTATTTTTTAAGAGATCTTTAAGGCTCTATAAAACCATTTTAAGTAGATTTTCCTTTCAATTTTTAGGATGTAATGGCTCTGAATTGGGAAATTTTTATGATCATGTATTACTTTTAAAATTTTACTAAAACACAAATTTTTTTTAAGAAGGCTCATGTCCAACATGGGACTTGAACTCACAACCGTGGGATCAAGAGTCGCATGCTCTACTGACTGAGCCAGGCAGGTGTCCCTCCTTTTATAATTTCAAAACAGTTTTTAAATGCCCATGGCAACAGAGCAGTCAAAAGGAAGAATCTGCAAACAGGAGTGGAGAATCCCTGAGGAAGCAGGAACAGAGAATGATGATAGTGTAAGTAGCAGCAGGAACAACTAACATTCATTTAGCAATTGAAATGTTCCAAACTGTGTTTTAGATGTTTAGAAGTGACAACTATCATGTCACTTAATCTCTATGATTCTATGTGGTAAATATTATCTGTCAAGGAAATGATAGCACAGAGAGGTCAGGCAACTTGCACAATCTGATAGCTCATGAATGGTGTAGCTGGTTTTCCAAAACCAGGCAGTGGGATCCAGAGCCAGTGCTCTTACTCTGCCCTCCACTCCAGGGCACAGTGGAGACTGGCTTGACAGGAAGAGAAACCTGATTAAACCATTGTGTTAGTTTTCTGTTGCTGTCTAATAAATTACCGCAAACTTAATGGCTTAACACAAACATTTATTACCTTACAGTCTGTAGATCATAAGTCAGGGCAGGCTCAATTGGGTTTTCTCCTTAGAGTTCCACAAGACCCAAATCAATATGTCAGCAGGTTTGGGCTCCTGTCTGGAGGCTCTGGGTAAAGATTCTGCATCCAAGGTCGTTGAGGTTTACAAAATTAAGTTCTCTTTGGCGATAGGACAGAGTTTCCGGTTTCCTTGCTGGTGTTGATCAGGGGCCTCTAATTTGGGTTTGCTGTAGTAATTAGAGTCTCCTGCATTCCTTACCTTGTAGCCCTGTCATCCTTAAGTTAGCAGTGGCACAAGGGATGTTTCACAGGCCTAGAATCTGATTTCCTATATTGCTCCCAGCCAGAGAAAACTCTGGCTCTTCTGATTTCATTAGGAACATCCAGACAATTTCCCTTTCCTTGCGCTTGTAAAGTAATCTAATCACGGAAGTAAAATTTAATTAACTGTCCTGGAAATTAGTGGGAAATCTTGGGGCCATTTTAGAATTCTGTCTACGACAACTATAATGGTTGATTGGTAGGATGTCTTGGTAAAGGGAGGTCTGAGGGCTTGTAATGCCTTCCTGGATAGGAGTGGAAAATGCTCCATTTGAGATGTTTGAGAATGAAGGTTTGAGTAGGTGACTAACAAACTTTTGGTTTGCTAGTCAGCTCTATAGGCTCAGTAGAGCTTGGAGATGATGAATTTGTGGGGATGCCAATCTATATGGCTGTGTGATTTTTCTTTTAAAGATTTTATTTATTTTTTGGAGAGAGAGAGCACACACAAGCAGGGGTAGGGGTAGAGGGAAAGGGAGAGAGAAACCTAAGCAGATTCCACGTTGAGCATGGAGCCCAACATGGGGCTTGATCTCATGACCCTGAGGCCATGACCTAAGCAGAAACCAAGAGTCAGTTGCTCAACTGACTGATCCACCCAGGCACGCTGTGATTTTTCGCTAGTGTCTGGTTATAGATGTAGAAGAGGTTTGAGGTTTTTCTGAGAAAGCAGCGCAAAAGGACCACAGATCAAGGGAGACCACAGGCTTAAGTAACGGGACTCTGAGATCAGGCCAGAAACAAAAGGTAGAGAATACCAGAGTTTGAGGGAGTAGGGACAATAATTACCTTGCAAGGGTTGGACGAGATGGCCAGATTTCCAGTTATAGCAGGAAGTGGAGGAAGGCTCTATTAAGATGCTAAAGATACAAGAAGTGTTTCTCCAAGTGTGGTTCTCAGACCAACAATGTTAGCATCTTTTGGGAACTTGTTAGGAAAATTCCCAGGTTCACCACAAACCTATTGAAATAGAAACTCTGAAAGTCTGGGAGCATAGCAATCTGTGTTTTACCAAGTGCTGTACTTGGTATTTATGCCCCAAAGATTTGAGAATCATTCATTCAGACTTTCATATTGTTTAAGAATACTTTTATCATGAATAGATTCCAGAAGGACAGTAAAAAATTTCTAGAAGAGTTATAAGATGAGTAGGAAAAACTGAGACCTATAGGAGAGGTCAAATGGCCCATGTTTTGCATGCTGACCTAGGATGCCAAGGATAAATGTAAAGGACACTTGAGTTAACTGGCCTTAGAATTTTCAGAAAACTCAAACCTTGGCCTGCTGATTCCAAGCTATACCAATGTGTTGTTATTCAGGTACTACTATTCCAAGGCCAAGACTGGAAGCATTTATTGAGTAGAGGGGTCCATTCTGGTACTGGAATGGCTGTTCTTTAAAGAGGAGAGAATTCAACCCCCAGGCAAAGAGGACAGAAATGGGAGAAGAGTCACTGGGGCCCTGAAAACAGGAACAGACCCTGCTGTTCACCTGTGAGGATGATCTATCTCTATACGGTTCAGTCAAGATCAAGAATTACTCTCCTTTAGCTGCAGGCACCACACTGATGGGCTGTGGCACAAAGATAGAGGAGCACAGGTGGGCTGTGTTTAATCAGCAGGAATATGAAGGAAGTGAAGGATGTGTTTTGGGATGTGGGTATATATATACACCCATATATAATTATATATAATATTATATATTATATATATATGTAATATATATATAATATATATACCCGTATAATAATTCCTCTATATTCTTTTTTAAAAATATATTTTTAAAATTTATTTCACAGACAGAGAGTACAAGTAGGCAGAGAGGCAGGCAGAGGGAGGGGGAAGCAAGTTCCCCGCTGAGCAGAGAGCCCGACGTGGGGCTCAATCCCAGGACTCCGAGATCATGACCTGAGCCGAAGGTAGAGGCTTAACCCACTGAGCCACCCAGGCGCCCCTAATTCCTCTATATTTTTAAAAATTTCCTGAGTTAGTGACTCTGGGAAAAATCCTGGGACTCAGGCAGTAAGATCCAAGCAAGTGAAATACAGTGTAGCCACACAAGATTTTTTCATTGCTTTTATAGGAACCCCTCCTCGTCAAGTAATAAACCATCTCAGGTGATTATAAACACATACCTTTTGGTGTAGCAATGGTAAATGTACTTAAAATAATTTGCTTTATGCTGTTAAAAAAAAGCCCCCAATGTTCATATGAGTGTTTATGGCATATATGTTAAAAAAACCCTATATTTATTGTGATATATAAAATATTTCTGTTAGACCAAATAAGAACCTGGTGAAACTGGTAGCCACTGGGGAAGGGAGATGGGTAGCCAGGAGAGAAAGGAAGAAGAAAGAATTTTCATGATTAAACCTTGTGTACCTTTTAAATTTGGAGCACATTAATGTATTATTCAGAAATAAAAAATAAATACATTTAAAAAATAAATAACAAGCTTTTATTATCCTGGACAACAGAGGAAAGTCAAACCTGAAGTCTCTGGGAATTAAGTAGCGCCCTGGGGAGGAAAGGCTGTAGCAGCACCTGGAGCGTCCTCAGAGACTCATTCCTTGGTCCGGCCACCCTGGCAGAGGCAGCTTGAAGGAATCACAAACTGCAGGGATCAGCGGGAGGACGACACTGGACAAAGCTCTCCTGCCTGACATCAGCCGCTGTCCAGAGCTAGCGCCCGAGACAGTACAACTCACCCTCCTGGGGTCACATCTCTGCTGGAAGGCAGGTGAGAATTCACATGCAGGACACCAAATACCCCGCTCTCCTAGTCCTCCCGGATTGCATGCCTCTGGTCTTTGGCCGCAGTGTCTGATTTGGGATAAGAGAATGTTGAAAAAGTCGAGTTGTTGTTCAGTCTGAGTCTGAACTCTCATTTGACTTGGAAGACTTATGCTTTCGTTTCTTCTTCTTCTTCTTTTCCTTCTTCCTTTTCTTATGCTTTTCTTTCTTCTTCTTTTTCTTGTGTTTCTCTTTACTTGCTGAGGAACTGGAGCTGCTTCCATCCTCATCAGAGGTAGAATCCTCCAGTAACTGTTTCAACTGCTGTATCCTACACATAGAAGATTAACCAAAGAACCATATTTAACTTGAAAAAAAGATAGATAAAAGTGGTATTAAGAGCAGCAGTGAGGGTAAAAAACATCATGAATAACCACCTTACTGAAGACTGTACCAATTTTTGTTTCTGCATGTTTTCCTCATTCTTGTCCACACCAGTGCCTCCTTGACAGGACTGTACCCAGTGCACAAGCCATTCTGTATTCTTTTCACTGTCCTAAATATTGCTGCATATTTTTCCAGTTCTTACTACATAACTTTGAACAGATGCTTCCTTTCCTTCATCACCCTCCCCAACCACCCACAACTGCTCGAGTTCATACTAGGTAAACTACCTCCTTAAAATTGGAACTCCGTGTAACCAGTTTGAGAAAAACAAACCCTCCCCTTTCTTTACCCTATCTTAATTCATGTCTAAGGATAATTTTTAACAATAGCTTATATTGTTAAAGATAAACTAAGTTATTATCCATCAGGATGTGAGCAGGCAGGACCAAGCCCACTGCTTTAAGCTAACCCAAGTGGAATGAGGCTGGCCTGCAGGTTCCCTACCCACTGGCCTTTCCTGTGATGACTCCTGCCTTCCAAATAGTTCACAGTTGAAGTACCATAGTTACCAAACCACTCATCTAATACTGGAACGGTTGTTTCCAACTTTATATAATTTCAGACTTTAAGGGGGTATTGTTAGCACCAGGACCATCTCACCTTACATCCTTTTCATGTCTTTTATTCTCTCGTATGATGTCATACATGGGATCTTCATGTGCCTTGAGGATGGGAAAAAGTTAAGGTTGTGTTAGCGTCCATGGACTATCAGTTAAATAAAAATTAAATCCATATTTCACTGAAACCAGATTTTTTTTCCCGTTTGGTGTAATTTTATATTTAACATGTTCTAATCCTTGCTAAGGGTCACCATTACTTCAAACTCATGGAAGTTATGAAAAAAAGATTTTCCAATTATACAAATACATTTTGAATAGACTTTTTAAGGATATCAAACATGGCAGAATCATTATTACTTATTACTCAAGGGTTAGAGGTACTGAGGTAATTCTCTTTGTTTTATGTGGACAGATGATCAAGAGTTATTAAATAAAAACAAGTTGGAAAATGATATGTAAGAATAACTCATGTTTAGGTGCATGAAAACATATGTATGTGCCCAGAAAAGATGTGGAGGTATCCTCGTCAAGCTACGTAATGCATATTTGCTCTGGAGACAGGCAATATTGGACTTAAAAAATTAAGTGTGAAAAAAAAAAAATTAAGTGTGGGGGCGCCTGGGTAGCTCAGTGGGTTAAAGCCTCTGCCTTCGGCTCAGGTCATGATCCCAGGGTTCTGAGATTTAGCCCTGCATCTGGCTCTCTGCTCTGCAGGGAACCTGCTTTCTCTTCTCTCTCTGCCAACTTGTGATCTCTTGTCAAATAAATAAAATCTTTAAAAAAAAAAAAATCAAGTGTGAAAATCCTTACTGTAACATGTCAATTTTGTTAAAGTAAAGCAAATGTATTCTCGAAATATTTGTATCATTTAAAAGTATTTAGAATATGACTACACATAGACTGAATTTTATGGTAAGTGAATTATCTTTAAAAATGTTTAGTAAAATTTTTCGTATCAAGGATAAAAAAGTTAAAAATATCTATATTCTTACCAGCTAGAGATATCTACTGCTAACATCTTAGTGTGCTTCTTCTACTTATCGTAATTTACAAAAAATTATAATCATATTATATATATAATTCTGTTCTTTTTTTCCACTTACGTTTTCATGAACATTTTCCTGATACTACATATTCTTCCAAAACATAATTATTAAGAGCTATATGATGTCTATGTTACAGTACTTATGTTGGTATGCTAGCCATTGAAGTTGTTTCCTATTCTCTTTAGTCTATTTTTCACAGATATAATTCTGAATAATTCCTTATATATTCTTCAAAATTTATATATATTGATTTTGCTAGAGTCTTAGGATCTATTCTTAGAATTTAGGTTTCTGAATTAAAAATATATGAATTTGTTCCTTTTTTTGAGAGTTAGCACTGATTTACCTGTAAACTGGATACTGTAAAATTGCCGTTCCAAGTAGCATTGATTTCTCCAGAATATTTTCTCCAAATTTTTTAAATTAAAGTACAATTTTTAAAATGTCTCAAAGCCCTGGCAAATATTTATGGACCCTGCTTTGATATATGGTGATAATGCCAATCTCTCTGGTAACAGCATAGTTAAGCTGACTGAAACAGTGACTGAATGGTGAGTTAACAACCCTGGGAGGTGACTGTGAAAATAAAGTGGGGAAATGACATCTGTTTTACTGTCATGCAAAGAGGATATATCATTTATACATACATATCTAGTTTATAACAGATATTTAATCTTTACACAAAGACGGGACTAGAACGCTGATTTTAGTAATGAAACAAGATTTTTTTAATGTAAGTAAAAAGTCACTGAATATATAATAATGCCTTTCAGAAAACAAAATCAGTGTTCCCAAGGCATAAAGAAGTAACACTTTAATAAAAATTAATTTTTTGCTAATGAGCTAATCTGTCACACAAATTCAGTTTAACAGAGTTAATACCAGATACTTTGGGCAAAAGGCCCTGGGGAATGTGTTTCATGTTAACCTGCTTTTCACTGATTAATGCTTGAGTCACAGATATTCACCACCTCTGGCAAATGTAAATCGAAACTCTGGGTTTTACTTACTACTCTGAACTGTTCTAACTTTTGGTTGCCTTTGATAAAGAAAGGGCATTCTTTGTCGCCTGTTCGGTGACCATACCGTTTACAACGCCAACCTAAAAACAAAGAAAAGGGATATATTTTTGTAAGATGATGTAGTTTTACTTAATCAAGATAAAGTATCAGCAGATCATATTAAAGATATTCTTCATTAGATTTCAATTTCCAAAGCAAATGCAATTAGCAGATGAACCATGTAAGACACCAGAAAACATAAATCAATTGTTTCCTCAAGCATCCTTTAATCTTTAATCTTGGGTTTTAGAAATAAGCCAAGTAGTTACTAAGCAATCCTGTGCAAAAATCAAAGTGTGATTTTTTTTTTTAAATAGTGTGTTATGGCTTGAACTGTGTTGCCCCCTCTATCCTGTCCCCATTATGCTGAATGTCCTAATCCCTTGTACCTCAGAATGTGACCTCATTGTGAGATAGGATCTTTGGAGAGGCCTGGGACAGATTCTTCCCTCACAGTCCTCAGAAGGAGCCAACCCTGCTCACACCCTGATTTTTGACTGATAGCCTTCAGAACTCTGAGACAATATGCTTCTGTTGTTTAAGTCAGCTGAAAGTGTCTTCCTAAATGAAAAAGGTGAAAAAACAAATAGAAAATAATAATTTGGAAGAAATAAAAACATTAAGGAGAAGAAAAAATTAACATCCTTAGAGAACATTTTGCAACAATTAAAGAGTTAAAAAATCATAGAAGAAAAAAGAGCTTTTGGAATTGAAATAAAAAACTTAATCAAAGGATTGGAAGCTATCTTGATGAAATAGTCTAGAGAGCAGAAAACAAAATAGGAGAGAAAAGATCAGAAATTAGAAAATCGGTCTAAGAAGTCCTTCATCTGAATAATAGAACTGCAAACACAGAGGGGAGGAAATAATCAATGAAACAATTTGTGAAATTTCAGAACACTGGGAATAAGATGATTTCATGAGCTTCTAGGGAGGAAGAATAAAACACCAAAGACAACAACAACAAAGCAGGTTACATCAAAGCATCCAGAATCTTAATTACTTTGGACTTGTCAATAGCAATTCTACGAATGAGAAGGCAATGGAGCAATGCCTTAAAAATTCTGAAGGAAGTTTGTTTTTAACAGAATTCTAACTAAATAGCAAACTAAAAATACAAAATAGAGATATTTCCAGAAAAATACAATCTTGAAAATTTTATCTTCCATAACCCATTTCTCAGCTACTGGAGAATGTGCTCTACCACAGCAAGAGAATGTAACAAAAAAAGACCCCAAATTCAGCAAATAGGAGATCAAACACAAGAGGGATGTTAAGGGAAACTGAAGAGTGAATGGTAACAGAAGGTCCTGGGGTGATAGTACAGGGAACAAATCTCTTCAGGAGGAAAAAAACCAACAGAATCCCTCAAGCATCTGAAGGAGTTGAATTAGAAATCAGTACACAGAAAAAAGCAAAAACAAGAACAACAAAAAGACAACTGTTAATTGCAGGGCAAAGAAAACATGCAGAATGTATGAAAGTACATAATGGTTTAGTATATAAAGTACACAGTGGTTTAGTATATAAAGTACATAGTGGTTTAGTATATGATTCAATTCTGAAAATAATCATAATTAAATATACACAAAAGATTTATTTAACTAAATTATGATAATAAGGTATTGGGAAAATGGGAGATAGAAAGAGTATGTATGAGGTGGGATGGAGGCACATAAAAAAGAGCTGAAAATCTGAGGGACCTGGGTGGCTCAGTGGGTTAAACCTCTGCCTTCAGCTCAGGTCATGATCTTGCAGTCCTGGGATAGAGCCCTGCATCGGGCTCTCTGCTCAGCAGGGAGCCTGCTTCCCTGTCTTTCTCTGCCTGCCACTCTGCCTACTTGTGATCTCTCTCTCTGTCAAATAAATAAAATCTTAAAAAAAAAAAAAAAAGCTGAAAATCTAGAGTAAGAAGTCAACAGGTAATGAAGAAAACTAAAAAATTGAGAGGCAGGATATAACCCTGTCTTAGATACATAGAGATAAACTACAAAATATTTTTTTAAAGTTTTATTTAAGTAATCTCAACACCCCATGTGGGGCTTGAACCATGACCCTGAGATCAAGAGTTGCGTGCTCCTCTGACTGAGCCAGCCAGGTGTCCCCAAAATAATGTTCTTCTTTTTTAAGATCTTATTTATTTATTTGAGAGAGAGAGAGTGAACAAGGGGGGAGCATTAGGCAGAAAGAGGGAGAAGCAGGCCCCTGGCTGAGCAGGGAGCCTGATGTGGGACTCGATCCCAGAACCCTGGGATCATGACTTGTGCCAAAGGCAGATGCATAACTGATTAAGCCATCCAAGTATCCCCAAAAGAATACTCTTTTTTTAAAAAAATATTTATTTATTTGGCAGACAGCACAAGTAGGCAGAGAGGCAGGCAGGGGGCAGGGGGGTGGGAAGCAGGCACCCCACTGAGCAGAGAGGTCAATGCGGGGCTCGATCCCAGGACCCTGAGATCATGACCTGAGCCGAAGGTAGAGGCTTAGCCCACTGAGCCACCCAGGCGCTCCATAAAAATTATATTCTTTAGAGAGGTTTACATGGTTACCCTTAGGGTAAGGCGAATGGGGGAAAGGGACTAGGAACTGCTATTTTAATTATGTGCAAGAAAAATCTTTATACAAATGTCTTTTTTTTTTTTTTTAAAGATTTTATTTATTTATTTGACAGAGAGAGATCACAAGTAGGCAGAGAGGCAGGCAGAGAGAGAGGGAAGCAGGCTCCCCGCAGAGCAGAGAACCCGATGCGGGGCTCGATCCCAGGACCCTGAGATCATGACCTGAGCCGAAGGCAGAAGCTTTAACCCACTGAGCCACCCAGGTACCCCTATACAAATGTCTTTAAAAGGCAGCAGTACTCTTTTTCAAATACTAAATACCACATAAGGTGGATGAAGGTGTTGCGGCCCTGGTGGGGTGGGGGTGTGCATGAACAACACACCGTTCTGGACCCATCCTCTGGGCTCACAGCTCTTTTCAGGTTACATGGTTGAAACCTTAACACCACTGATGCGGGGGTGTGGTGGTGAATGATGATGCAAGACCCAAAGGGACCTGCCTTCCAATACATCCCTTGTCCTTCCTGGCATTTCTACTACGGAATATCCTTTTTGTTACTGGAGTACTGCCGAAGAGTGAACTCCAAAGGCAGCTATGGTCCTGTGGGCGACCACTGCCCTTGGAGTCAGAAGCCCTGGAGTTAAAGCTCTCCTCTACTTAGCTCAGACTACTAACACATATGTAGATCGGCTTCCTTAACTATAAAACAGAGATTATGCCTTGACTTAACAGGGCTGCGGTGACAACAAACTAAACAACAAAAGAAGTAAACATGCTTTGTAAATAGTGGTGTATAACTTGCGTGTATGGAGGAGTGTTACTTGCAACTCTCCTGTACTCACACTGCATAACTTTGACTTCTTTCCCCAGTGGCATCCAAAGTCCTTTTGTTGGTGCGTGAGCCAGAAATTCCCTGGCATGTTCGTTGCCTGGTACATCTGGTATACAGTCTTCTGGCTTAGTCTCATCTTCCTAAAAAAGGAAACAGCGTGTACACAACATGGCAAAAAAGCCCAGGAATTCTCTCCTACCTGCTTCAGAACACAGCACTGGCTGGCTCTCTCATGGGCTGGACATGCCCATCTCATTCTAAGTCACCCTCTCAAGTACTAGAAAGAAAGACAAATTATATCTGATAGGAAAACCAGAAATAAATGTACCAGAAGAACTATCTCATGAAAATGATATAGCTACTCTTAAGAGAGATATTACTAGTATTGTTCACTTAGGAATGATTTGTGAGCTCCAAATCCTGATTCTAGATCACAAAAATTAGATTCAGATCACAAACTTTTCTGCTACCTTAAAAGCCTTGTGGAATGAAGCAAAGTATAGAGTTAAACAACATTTCCTGAAATAATAAAAATAACATGTTAAACTAAAAACAATTATTATCCCTTGGAAACCACTGTTACTTTTACAATCTCATACCTGCTGTATTTATGAAGTGTGTTTTACCACCAAATAACTTTGTCACACAATAAAGGTTTTTTTTTAACCATCTGATTTTTTTTAGTTCCCATGAATATTAAATTTATAATAAAAGGTTTTGTAATAATCTTTTTTCTTTTCACTGAACGTGAGCAAGCAGAAAGCTGTTCTAGCCTCCATGGAGCCCTCTAGGTCTCCCTCCCGCAGAGAGACTGGATTCTAGGGCCAGGTGCTGCCAGGGGTGGAGGTGGGTAGGGGGGTGTCCTGCACCAGGGGCCGGACTAGGAGACCTCCCAGTTTCCCCAGAGACTACTGTTCTCTGAGCTAATGATACTCAGGAAACCAGCAGCAAGTCAGAGAAGGAGCACAGCTGTGAGAAGATGCAGCCACAGCGAGAGGGAGGGAGAAGGGGACTGATAACTGAGGAACATGTGGGCCTGCCACTGTTTCTTAGGGAACAGGCACACGGCTGATTACATTTCTACAAAGGCACAGGCTGGACACAGAAAGCACAAAGTGTATGAACCGACTGGCATCTGCAGGAAGAAGCAGGGTTCCATAAAAGGACGTTCAAAATCACATGCAACAGGTTTTCATAACAAGTTACTGAGCCTGAGCACTGAGCCAAATATGTCTAAGAGGATGACCAAAGGCACAAACTTCACACTGACCTTGATAAGCCCAGGAGGAGGTTTTTCATAACTAGAAATGAAAAGAAAAAAACATCATCAATCATGTTAACAGGAATGTAACACATTTTAGTGAGCAAAAAGCAACTGCAGGCCAAAATAAAAAGGATATTTTTAGTAAAACCTTAAAAGTACATTAAATCGAAAGCAGTTAATAAAATATGCCCAGCAGTCAGAGATCCCATATAAATAAACTGATGCTATGCCACGTCCTGCAGAGATCCAGAGCTGAAATTCACTGAGGGAATAACTAGGTGTCGGAGCACAGTGACTTTATTGTTCAAGAGAAAGCAAGAGATTGCAGGGGGAATGTCAAAGAAGAAGACCTGTGAGCTAATCATGATTCCAAACTGTCACAGCTGTCAGGTTATTTACCTAGCAAAACATCCACTTACTCAACACTGAAGAGGCGCATGGTGGGGGAAAGGTTGAGAAATCTTTTCTAACTTGATTGGGGGCAGCATGGGGGCCGGGGGAGGCAGGAGCAAAGCTGGAGGGAAGGGCCTATTGCAGGGGAAGGAAATGGGGTTGGGGTTAATCTGTCCTAGAGGTTTCCTCTCTCATTTCCCTGCAGCTCCTGGTTCAAATCCTGCCCACCCACCCTGCCTGCAGAGTGAGTCAACTACTCCTCTGCTCTGATAGCCTCGGACCCCTGCACGGTACCTGGACGACAGGCAGCATTTAGTAAGAATGCTGCTAGAGTAAGCAGATGTATGATGTGTGGGAATGTACTTTTCTTTTGAGCTCTCAGTACCCCCTCAAGATTCTTAAGGGAACATACATTATGCCTATGTTCCCAATTCATTTTCACTTCCTAACACTCTGCTGGAACTGTCCCTAAGGATTCTGGATTTCAAATCTGGAAAATCAGCACCAAATACTCATGTACATTAAAAAAAAATTTTTTTTTAATTGGGCTATAATTTACATGTAACATCATTACTTTTAGGTGTAATCATACTCATTTTTAAGTACTGTCACACTATTGGGTATCAAACACAGTGGATCCCACCCTCCTCCCTCTACAAAAAAGAATAAACCTGAAAAATCAAGCAGGACAACTGAACATCTTAGGTCTTTTCAGTGACTCTATAAAGAACATTTTACTGGGAGAGGGTATCTGTGTTTTGACTCCAAAAGCTTGGAAATGTGGGAGTCCCAAAATTGGTGCACACAGGTGGTGACTTCAGAGATGATTGATTTTCTGAGTTTTGTATAGTAAAAATGTCTCACTTTTAGAAAAAATTAATAAATGCTAAAATGGTAAATCATTTATCTAATACCCAAATAGATACTGATTGGGGTTGCCTGGGTGGTTCAGTTGGTTAAATGGCTGCCTTCTGCTTGGGTCATGATCCCAGGGTCCTGGGATAGAGTCCCACATTAGGCTCCCTGCTCAGCAGAGAACCTGCTTTTCCCTCTCCCTCCACCTGCTGCACTGCCTACTTGTTGTGTACCCTCTCTCTCTGTCAAATAAATAAAAAAAATCTTTAAAAACCCAAAACAAATAGATACTGATTATCCTAAAAGGAATGTAGAGCAATATCCAAAATAGTTTAAAAAAGCAGTAGGGTAAAGAACAGTGCATTTGGTGTGCTTCCATTTGCGTGTATGGGGAGAAGGACAATACATGTACATACATGTAAACACAGACATGCCTCATTATGAATAGAATACCTCTGGAAGGATACCTAAGGGAGGGATGTTTATTTTTCACTTGTACTTATTTATATGCAAATACATCACCTCAAGTTTTTTCTTTACAAAAAAAAAATGAAATTGATGGCAATTTCCTTATACCTATGTTGGTATAAACCTGGAGTAATTTTCCTCTGAAAGAAGAACCAAAGGTAATTTGAAATTAAGAAGGATAGAAGGGCCAAAAATATGCTATTAGCAAGCTCATTTCTGCTCTAGAGTTATAGAGACTGCATTTTGTTTTATTTATTTATTTTTAAAAAAGATTTTATTTATTTATTTGACAGAGAGAGATCACAAGCAAGCAGAGAGGCAGGCAGAGAGAGAGGAGGAAGCAGGCTCCCCGCTGAGCAGAGAGCCCGATGCGGGTCCGATCCCAGGACCCCGAGATCATGACCTGACCCAGAGGCAGAGGCTTAACCCACTGAGCCACCTAGGTGCCCCTGCATTTTTGTTTTAAAGTTTCAATGTTATTCCTGTAAATTTTTTCAAGTATTAAATCTCTACTCTAGCTCTATCCAACTTGATATTTTCCTCCTAAAAAAAAAAAAAGAACAGGTACAATAGGGGAAACTAAACTTAATTCTCAGGAAATACTGAAGGTTCACCTTGAAAACTTACTCATTGCAGAAGTAACCAATCAACAATTATTCCAGGCATAGTGCTAAGTATCAGAAGAGAGAACTAAGGGTATAGAAAACTTGCTGTTGTCCAAAATCCCTGGGAAGAGTGAGGCAGTGTATTCCCCAATCCATGGATTTATTTCCCTTGAATAAAGGATATCAAACTCATTATTACATCGCATTATTTTTGTTATTTGACTCTCTTTATAACTGTGCAACTGTTTTGCTTTGGGTTTTTGGAGTGGAGAACCCTACATTCCAGCTGTAACATTTTTCAGTTCGAAACGAATGGGCTCTGGGGGTGTTAAAAAGAAAACCACAGGCCCCAAATGGAGCCACTTAGGCCAAGTCACCAAACTGGGCCTTAATATATACTCTAATTACAGTTTCAACCGCCCCCCCCCATAATTGTAGTCTTAACCCTCAGCAGGAATTTTCTTATCAGTACCAATAAACTAATCTGTCAAATGGGTCCCCTTGACCCCCCCCCCAAAAGAAGAGGTGATCTGCATGATAAGACTCCCTGCTCTTCCACCTAAGGGAAAGTGAGCTTGCCTGGAACAATCCTTTCTTTTCTTTTGCTAATAAGTTCATTTACCATCCTCCTTCCAGAAATCTTTCATTTTCTACGACTCTTTAGAGCATCTCTCTGCTTGCTAGATGGGATGCTGCTGGATTCATGAATCAATCAATAAAGCCAATTAGATCTTCAAATCTACTAAGTTGAATTTTTGTTAGCACAGGTAAAAATTTTTTTGGTTTGAATTCTGATTCATTCTCACTGTTGTGTACTTTGGACAAGTTCTTTAATCTTTCAGAGCCTCAATTTCCTCATTGGTGAATATGTCACAGCAAACGTCTCTTTCATCTCTGGAAAAGAACTTCACAATGCTGGCTTCTGCTCCTTCTGTTAAAAGCAAGTCATTGCTCTCTGCAGCGTTATGAGGTAGCTCAGAACCAGAGCACTAGCTTGACAAAGGCCTAGATGTGGACCAGCAGAGGAGCCTGGCCATCCCAAGCAAGTCTTCACATCTTTTTATAGATCTGCAGCTTTACAGGGATTTGCCAGCTGCTCCTAAGTGGAGGTGGGCAGAGAACTGGCAGTGGACTTCCCACAGACACCATCCCCAGCTGAGCTTACTGCCTTTCTAGGCCATGGGACTTAGGAGACTCCTCTTTCATATCTGGCTATGGGGATCACTGCCTTTCCCCCCATGTATGTGGGACATTAGAATTCAGCCAAGTCTATCCCCATTCTCTTGTGAGGCTCATGAAATATGCCTTATTACAGGTATTAAACTATCATGTTAAAATCTCAGAATAAGGAAGGGCAGGCCAGGGACTCTTGACGTCTTTTTTTCTCCAACATCAGTTCCAACATTTTTCCTCATTGATTCCAACAACTGGAAGCTACACCAATTAAGAGGCCGAATTGGGACAATCACCCAGATCTTGTGACATTTGGAGTTCTTTCACTGAGCTGAGCTTTCACCCTGTTCTAAGTCAGCAATGCATTTCTTATATTAGTAACTGTTCATGGGTTAAATAAATTGTGTAAGGGCACATAGCCCAGTGAGCCCCTGTGCTCACTTGTCCATGACTGTTAGTACATGTTTAGCTGGATCCAGTAATTATTCTAGCACTATGTTTGCCACTAGAAAGCAGAGGACTCCAGGAACACTTTAAATTCGGAGCTTGAATACAGTTTGGTTTGGGCACAAATACTGTTGTAAATCTAGTTTTCCCTAAAAATACCCTGCCCAACATTGCTCATTTATCCTTTTTATTTATTGCAATAAAATTTATATACCATGCTTCCCTCTGTTTTGACAATACCCTCCGCAACCCAATGCAAAATACTATGAGGCTAGAGGGAGGTAATAACAAGGACAATGACCTCATGCCCTCTCTGAGGCAGGGGTGGGTTGAGTGTGTGCAGATATTACATGCATACACGTTTGGTTGTTGATACTGGGAATCCATGCAGCTGCAGATAATTCTAAGGAGGCTTTGAGGGGAAATGTCAAGCTAGGAATCAATATCTGAGCTGAGCCAGGCCCTGACATTCACCAAGTTAATGTAAAACAGAGCTACAGGGTTTTTGTTTTTGTTTTTTAAGATTTTATTTATTTATTTGACAGAGATCACAAATAGGCAGAGAGGTAGGCAGAGAGAAAGAGGGTGAAGCAGGCTCCCTGCTGAGCAGGGAGCCCGATATGGGGCTCAATCCCAGGACCCTAAGATTATGACCTAATCCAAAGGCAGAGGCTTAACCCCCTGAGCCACTCAGGCACCCCTAGCTACAGGGCTTTTAATCACAGATTTTAGCAAGGACAAGCCTCCATCATCTGGTTTGCAGACCAGGAATCACTTTGTTACAGCAGAAGACCTCCCCTGTCTATGCTTAGTGGCACCCAGGCACCAGACTGGCTAGGCCCTCCTTATTTCTGGCCAGGGACTGAACTGAGAGAGACCCAGAAGCCAGAGAGACAGGAAGCAAATTCTGAGGCTGGGTGTCTCTGTACTCAAAGAGTATTTCAAACTCTTCAAGATATTTATACCTCTTCTATAAGGAGTAATACGTAAGCATTTCAGTTCAGATCTGTGCCTTAACCTTGTAAACCTCCAAGGAAGGACTCATTTTAATACTTCAGAATGGCTGCAAATTATAGAAACACTTAATGATTTAATG